GCAGGTTGGTCTGTGAGGTTCATGCTCTGGAGCTCCTGCGTGCGGCGCCCGACTCTGGGCCTCAGGAGTTTCGGACCGACGAGCGGGGTGGAGTTGGCCACCAGAGGCGGTGCCCCAGCTGCATGGTCCCGAGGCCTGCCGAGTGCCGAGGTCAGGCTCCGCCAGCCGCAGGGCGCTTCCGAAAGATCCAGGCAGTGGCGCCGTCTCACTCGGGAGCCCCTCCGCGGTCTTGCGACGGTGCCCCTCGCGGTCATCCGCCAGAAGCCGAAGCAGGAGGATGCCACCATCGCCTGGGGCTTGGCAGCCGGGCGCCCAGCCAGCCAGTGCGTCTTCTCAGCCGCCTTCTGCTGCCAGAGGCTCTGCTGACGCGCGCTCTCGCCGTCGTCCTTTGTCTGGTGCCGACCCCGCGCCTGCCTCGATGGGTCACCCCCGTTCGCCCCCCCCCCCCCCGATCCCCTCGGTCGGAGCAGGAGGGCGAGAGGCGTCGCCGCTCCCGAGCAATAGTTCAGACCTTTTTTCCGCCGCGAGAGCGCTGGCCCCCCCAAGAGTCACTGCAGCGGTGCGAGGGCGCGCCAGCAGCTGATAACAGACGACGTCAATGCCTAGCGTTGGGCCAGATTGGCAGGCCTCACCGAGCGAGGGTTCTGTTCGGTGCTGCGCTTTGCCCGAGCGCGAGCGCCCTTCCCTGCCGCGGGGCCCTCATGGGTTCGGCCACCCGCAAGGGGGCTCGGACAAGCCTGAAGCTGTGGCGCTCGACTCCAAGTCAGTTCTCCCCTCCCTGTGCAGATCGCGCGCAGGTCTGTCTGGACTTTAGTCGCGCGCCAGTAGTGGATGGTTTCACTGCGTGAAGCGCCTTCCTAATAAGCCGCCCGCTTGCGCGTTTTGCGGGGCCATGGCGCACGATGGTCGCTGGCGCGGCAGAGAGATGCGCAGAGCAACCGAAGGATTTCACTGCCAGTCTTGCTGGGTCGAATATGCGCCGCCGCACGAGAAGGAAACGTGAAAAGCTCGTTTGGTTCAGAGACCAGAAGCTCTTCCTGCTTCTTCCCAGTGCCATATAGCGGCGCCAATGCTCCCTCGCTCTCGCTGCATTAGGCCTGTCTATTCTTCCAGGCTTTTGGTGATATCTTAGCTGCAACTCCCTAGTCGGATCTTGGTTTTGCTTACGGCCGTAGGTCTGTCCAGGTCCGTTTTCTGTGGGTCGCCTCCTTGTGGCCACCCATCCACTTGGGACTGGCTCCAGTCGCCGCGGATTCCCAGTGTTACGATTGCCGTTGGTCTGCGCTCGCCTAGTGAAGCTTGCTTGCTGGCAGTGTGTCTGCTCCAGGCTCCCGCTGCTCAGTGCCTGGCGCCAGGAGCTGTTTCTTCAGCGCATCCGCAGTGTTGCACCCACTTCGGGGCTTTCAGCCCTCCTCCTCCCCCTCTTGGGTCTCCCTCCATCGCCCTCGTCCATATCGCTTGAAGGCTCGGCGCCGCTCAGGCGTAATACATTTTTTTTAAGACAAGTTGTGTTCGTGTTTTTTCGCTGAGCTCGCAGCGCGTTCTCAGGTGCAAAACTTGCTGTGGTCAGCGTTTGCTGAGGGAGGCTGAAGCTTGGACCTCGTGGCTGCTTCGGGAATCCGCTGCTCAGTTCCTGATCTCTGGTTCTTGCCGGCAGGGAAAGCCCAAACCGTTGTATCAGGTAAGGGCCTTCAGCTTGCTCTCCCCCTAGGGTCTCCCGCTTTGTCCCCCTTTCGTGCATAAGGCCTCTGCGCCACTCAGATCCGAGAGTAGCCTCGGGCTAAATTATGTATGTTTGATCTCTGCATCGCAGGATGACTTGCCAGCGCTTTTTTTTCGTTTGTAGAAGCCGCACACGAGCAGGCTTGCTTGTTCCACATTGCAGGAGTCTTGTAGCAGATCTGTATAAAACCCACCAGGTCCCAGCGGAATTGGCTCTGGTCAGGTCAGGGCCCACGTGGTGACTCCCATGTTGTCGCTTTCCCTTGGTCCAGAGTCTCCAGGCCTTGCTGAGTCCCCGAGGGCCCGCTCAGCATCCGCGAGCAAGCCCCTCTGATGGAGGTGGTCGGAGTTACCTTGGAGATGCCGTCCCAGCCCAGGCCGGGGCCATCAACAAAGGGCAGGATGCCAGCGCTCAGCATCCTTCTTCTCAGCCCTGGCCCCTGCTGGGCGGTGCCACCATCAGCCACGCGCAGAGGGGGGTGGGGGGAGGGCCTCTCGGAAGCACCCCTGCTCCTCAGAAGGCGCGGGCCTCATCCGCAGACGCAGGGCCGGCGCCCTCTCAGAAGCAGCCCCCCTCCGAAAAGCCATCCCCCCTCCCTCCCCCCCCCTTTCGGGCGAAGAGAACTATGCACATGCACCGATCCTGGCAAGGCCCGTCCTTGACCCAGGATCGGTGCATATACCTTCCTGGCCAAGGCAAAAGGGCGTATGCACCGATCCTGGGCTCAGGGTTGGGCCTGGCCAGAATCGGTGCATGTGCATAGTTCTCTTTCCTCTACCCTTGCGCGCACCGCCAGCACCGAGCCGGTGGGGTCGAGCGCTGCCGCCTCCCATCCCTCCGCGGCACGCCTCGCGGGGGAGGGCCCGGCCGGGCGGGCCCTCCTGCCATGCCTCGGGGGTCCGGGGCCCGCAAGACCCAGCACGGTCCGCCACGCCCCAGGGGCCTGCTCGGCCTCTCGCGCGCTGCCCCCTCCCTGCTCGGCGTGCAGCTCTCCTGCCCCTCTCGCTCGCCTGTCCCCCCCCCTTGCTGGCCTGCTTCTCTCCGCCCGTTGCCTTCCCGCGTCTCTGCTCTGCTCGGAGCGTTGTGGGGACGTCTGGAGAGCTTGTGCGCCATATGAGACCGGAGAGAAGAGAGGGGAAGCCGAGTGGGTGGTGGTGGTGGTGGTGGTGGTGGTGGAGGAGGAGGAGGAGGAGGAGGAGGAGGAGGAGGACAACGTTAACTTTTGGAGCTCCGCGCGGATTTCTTTGGAGAGAGGAGGAGGAGGAGGACAACGTTAACTTATGAGGGAGAGAAGAGGAGAAGCGGGAGAAAACGGAGGAGCGACACGGAGTTTGAGCGGGAGCGGTTCTTTTCCAATACCTTCAGTCGAACCCTGGGCCCGGCCCCCGCCCTCGAGGGTCTAGATAGGAGGGGAACACAGACACAATTAATCGTCCACTCCCAGGAAAATATGGGAAGATATGGGAAGTGGGGGGGAAGACAAAAGATACAAAAATAGGAAAATATGGGGACTCATTTATTTTTGTGTGTGTGTGCATCTCTATATATATATATATGTGTGTGTCCTGGGGCCCCTGCACTAGAGGCATCTCCTGCCCCGTCGACGTTCGGGGCCGTCGCTCGCTTCGGAGGCGGGCCTCCGATGTCATTGGGCCGTATCGCCTCGGAGCGCTTTTCGCTCTTGGCACCGCGCGGGGGCCCAGGGCCTTCCCTGAGATCCGAGTCAAGGGAGGAAGAACCACCCGGACCGGACGATTGGCGTCTGCTAAACGGCCCCGGGCGTTTCCTGAACAGCCTTGCCCCGTTTGACTCCTTCCCTGGGCGCGCTCACTCAACGGCTTCGCGTGCTGGGGTGGTATTCCTATCGGGGTGGATGTGCTGTCCTCTACTCTGAAGTCGGGCGTGTCCCTCCACAGGGGGAAGGTTCAAAAATAGGCAAAAAATAGTATGGGGGCATTTTTTTTTGATTATTTTTGACCATTATGGGGTATAGGGACAATTTTTTGATTATTTTTGACCATTATGGGATATCTTTGAGTGCTTTGTATCTTTCGTCTAGACTCCGCCTGTAGGGGGACACGCCCGACTTGACTCTGCTCCTCGCCCTTGGCACCGCGCTGGGGCCCAGGGCCTGCCCTGAGATCCGATGCCCCGCCACTCAGGAGGGAAAAATAACACACAGACACAAGTAATCGTCGATTCCCCAGAAACTATGGGAAAATATGGGCAGTGGGGGGGAAGATAGAAACCCAGAAAATATGGGAAACTATGGGGAATCCTTTTTTTGTGTGTGCATTTATTGGTGTGTCCCAGGGCCCCTTCAAACAAGTCGCAGGGGATCTTGACTGTGGAGCGTCGGTCACCGGAGTGGGTGCTCAGGCGTTGCACCCCCCTGTCTGGATGTCCTGTCCTGTCCTCGACCTCTCTCGGCCCCTCTGCCCTCGGGCCCCCCCCCCCTCCTCCTCCTCCCCCAGAGCCTCTCCCCCCCATCGGCAGTGCGCCCCCGGGGAGGCGTCCGATCGGGAGCGGCCAGGAGGGGGGCGAGGACTAGGGTTGAGTCGGGCCTGTCCCTCTACAGGAGGACTATTCAAGAAGAGTCAAACATTATATATATATATATATATCTCTATATATATGTTTGTTGTGATATTTTTGGGGTAGTTTTGTGATATTCCTAATTTTTCCTCCCAAGATCCGCCTGTAGGGGGACATGCCCGACCTCAGACTATGGGTGTGTGGATATCACGGTGGCGGCCCAGATATCTCCCCAGAGTCCGTGGCGCCTCTTCTCATTTCAATGCGTCCCGCCCCCACCCCCCCGGGGCCGCGCACATGCCCCCCCCCCGCCAATGACCCTTTGCGCCCCCCCTCTTGGACGCCCCCCCCCTCTTGGCCCGCTCCCGGTCTTGGCGCGCCCGCGTGCCTGTCTCCGAGCCTGCCGCAGACCAGGGCACTGCTCGCGGAGGAGGAGGAGGAGGAGGAGGAGGAGGAGGAGGAGGAGGAGGAGGAGGAGGAGGAGGAGGAGGAGGAGGAGGACAACGTTAACTTTTGGAGCTCCGCGCGGATTTCTCGGATCGGCGCTGGGCTCCCCAGCGCTTCCGGCCCCGCGCGCCACGCGCGCCGGGGAGGAGCGTTCAGCGCCGAGCCGAGAACTCCGCGCGGACCCCCGAAGGTCGATGTTTATACAATGTTCTGTTCCTCGAGTCTTGCCCTCCTCCTCCTGCCAGCACTCACCCTGCATCTGCCTCGCATGTGACGCCTCAGATCTGGCGAGCAGAAGGAATGCATACGAGCTGTATTCCACCCCCAGGTTCTCAGAGAACACAGTTGAGTTGGCATGAACGTAATGGGTGAGAGCGAGCGAGTTCCTCCTCCCAGCAACCTCTGACAACTTGGGAAAACCACACCAGACCTCCGAAACCCTCCGACGCTCCCAAGGCCTCTAGAAGCGACGAAGAGCTCCCCCCAAATTCCCCCCCGCCCGAAAGCTGCAGTCATTCCGACCCCCACGGATCCGCCTCCTCCTCTTCCTCCTCCTTCTCGCTCCTCCTCGATCCTCCTCGATCCTCCTCGATCCTTCTCCTCCTCCTCCTCCTCCTCCTCCTCGATCCTGCTCGTTACTCCTCGATCTTCATTCTCGATCCTCCTCCTCTTCGATCCTCGATCCTCGATCCTCGATCCTCGTTTCCCTTTCTCGATCCTCCTCCTCCTCGATTCTCCACGATCCTCCCCGAGCTTGTCCTTGCCGAGGCCTTCGAGTTCCACTACTTCTTCACGCGCAAGTTCTGGATGTCCTACAAGTGCATGGGCCTGGTGGTCGCGCCCGGCGGCCTGGGGACCTGCGACGAGCTCTTCGAGGTCATCACGCTGATGCAGACTGGCAAGATCAGGCGATCCCGTAGCCTCCTGCGACCCTCGGCCCGAAAGAGGATCGGCGCTCGAGGATCGATGTTCGAGGATCCAGGTTTTTCCAGGGCCGGGTCGGTGAGTAGCGGTGAAGAGGCAAACTTCAGGAGGGAGGGACACATAAAGACACATAAATGTCGATTCCCAAGGCCATGTGGAGGGGAAGACGCAAGTCGAGAAAATGTGTGTGTGTGTGTGTCCCTGGGCCCCTTCAACCCTCCCCTAGGAGGAGGAGGAGGAGGAGGAGGAGGAGGAGGAGGAGGAGGAGGAGGAGGAGGAGGAGGAGGAGGAGGAGGAGGAGGAGGAGGAGGAGGAGCAGGAAGAGAGCAGGGAGGAGGAGGAGGAGGAGGAGGAGGAGGAGGAGGAGGAGCAGGAGGAGGAGGAGGAGGAGGGAAGAGGAGGAGGTAGGAGGAGGAGGAGGAGGAGGAGGAGGAGTCCTTCTCCCTCCCTCCCTCCCTCCCTCCCTCCCCCGTCTGAGCCCTCCGAGCGCCGCTGGAAGGGCCCCGCGGCGCGCTCCACACGCCCCGCGCTCTCCGCCGCCTCCGCGGCCGCAGCCCTCGGGTCGGAGAGCGGGGCCCCGCCGCGGCCGACACGCCCCGGCCCGCCCCCCGCCCCAGGGTCGGTCGGGCAACAACTCCTCCTCCTCCTCCTCCTCCTCCTCCTCCTCCTCCTCCTCACAACTGCAACAACTGCACGCGGGCAACACGTCGGGAAGTGTCAAACAGCACATACGAAATCGAGCCCGACGTCACGACTGGGCCGCCCTACAGCTCCACACCGCCGGACACCCAGGCAGGCTGGCGGTGGTCGGTCGGGGGCGGACGAGAGGGGGCCGCTGGCACGAAAAAGAGAGAAGCTGCTCCCAAGACGGTTGGGACCTCTGGGGCCACGGATTGAAGCATACAGTCGGGGCGCTGAAGAAGGAGCCCTTTTCGTTGGGGAGGGGCTCCGTGTTCCTTGATTGTTTCACAGCTTGCCTTAGGTTTTCCTTAGGTGTTCGATGGGAAATCGATCTTTAACTGATGGGAAAAAGGGGCCTCGTTCCTTATCTAGGGTTCCTTAGGTCAACGTCCCGACTGTAGTATCGGAGGGTGCGGACAAAATCACGACGGGAGATTTATGGACCAGTTTCGGCCCCTCGGGGTCCTCGCTCTGCCCAAGGATCGTCAACGAAAACTGCTCGGGTTGAGAGAGATCGGTCCCCTGGGAAGTGGTCGTGAGACCCAGATTTTCGGGGGCGGAAAAGAGGGGGTGATGACTAGGGGGGGTGGATATCATGGCGTGGGCCATGATATCTCCCCAGATTTCGTGGCGCCTCTTCTCATTTCATTACGTCCCTGGCCCCCCCGCTGGGCCGCGCACATGCCGCCGGTCATGATTTGCACCCCCCCCTCCTGGAAACCCCCCTCTTGGCCGCTCCCGAGAACGGGGGGGATTGGGAGAGGTCGGAGGTTGATAGGCCTCCTACCCTGACACGTCGATTAAGGAATTGGCCGTTTTCGGTTCGCGAGAGGGCGTCGCGGCCGTCATTTTTGCGGGTCCAGGCCCGTCGGTTTCGGTCCCAGGCCGTTTTCACTAAGGGGAGGTTTCCTAAAGGGAGGTTTGTCCACCGCCGACCCCCGGACGTGACGGGGCGCTGGTGCGCCCTGGGAAAGGGGGGGTTACGAAATTTGCTGCATGCAGCTGGTTTCGGCCCCACCGAGGGGCCCATTCCTCGATACATGGCCGCCTCCGGCGCCGGGAGGCGCCGGGCAATTCAGCTACGTGGGCTGATTCTCAAACCCCCTTTGCTATCCCCCCCTTTCGCCCGACCCCGCAAAGGGGGCCGTCGAAGGCGACGGGCGCTGGAGCGCCCTGGGGTGCCACCAGCGGGCTTCGAGGCGGGGTGGCCTGCCTCGGCCTCGCGGCAAGGGGGAAATCCAGTGGAGGCTTTGTTCCGAGGGGAGCTGTCCGGTCGGGGTGGGTTGTTTCGGTCCCCTCGGACAAAGCCTCCCTGGGATTTCCCTTCGCGAGGCAGAGCAGGCCTACCCCCGCTCGCTGGAAGGGAAATTCCCAGGAGGCTTGTCGGTGGGGTCCTGGACAACCCCACTGGACAGACTCCCCTCGGACAAGCCTCCTGGGATTTCCCTTTCCGCGAGGCAAGCAGCCACCCCCGCCTCGAGCCCGCTGGGTGGCACCCCAGGGCGCACCAGCGGGCTTCGAGGCGGGGGTGGCTGCCTCTGCCTCGCGGAAGGGAAATCCCAGGGAGGCTTGTCCGAGGGGAGCTGTCCAGGTGGGGTTGTCCAGGTCCCCGCCGGGTTGTCCAGGGGGGGGTGTCCGGGGCAGGGCGTCTGGTCGTCATCAATCAATCGGCCTGGGTTGTCCGAGCTGTCCGACGGGCTGTCCGGGGATTCTCTCAGATCGGATGATTTTTCCATGGTGCACAGGTAGTATCCACAACCACCACCACCAGTCGAATTCCTCGTTCTCTCGGGCCACGGTTCGCTGCCCAAGTTTGCCTATTGCTGGTCGGCTTGTGTGGCGTTCTCGGTTTGCCTGGCAACATTCTGATTCGCATTGTGGTCGATGCCGCGTTGTGGTCGTCATATGTTAGCCAGCGTGGGCCCCAACACAGTAGGTTATTGCAGTCTATGCGGTGCATTCGATGTGGTGCAATGTATGCGATGCAACCTATGTAATGCAATCTATGCGGTGCAATCAATGCGGTGCAATCAATGTGGTACAATCTACGCGGTGCAACCTGTGTAATGCAGTCTATGCGGTGCAATATATGTGGTGCAATCTACATGGTGCAATCTACGCGGTGCAACCTATGCAATGCAGTACATGCGGTGCAATTTACGTGGTGCAGTGTACGCGATGCAACCTATGTGACTCAGTGTACGCGGTGACATCTATGCTGTGCAATCTATGTGGTGTAATCTACGCGGTGCAACCTATGTAATGCAATATATGCGGTGCATTCTATTTGGTGCAATATATATATATATATATTATGGTGTAATCTACGTGGTGCAATCTGTGCAATGCAGTCTATGAGGTGCAATCTATGTGGTGCAATCTATGTGGTGCAATCAATTTCAGTTCGCAGTGAGTTGCCATCTCCACTGCTCGCGCAATCATCCCACCCACCCACCCGCAACATGGTTTGCATAACCCATGCGGTGGCGAATGCGATGCGTGCTTAACGTTGGCTGGTCCATCTGCGCGGTCGAGCCAACCTGAGCACGCGCGAGCAGCGGCCAGCTAGTTCGGCGCGACCGATGCGGCCGTGGTGGCGCTGACCGCTGGGCGCATCCCAGCGGGCACTTCAGTGCGAGTCGGCGACTTGGGCGGTCACGGTATCATGGCAACGTCGACAATAGTAGACGATGTTGATAGTAACGTTGCTGGTGACGATGTTGTCAAGGACGACTGCGTGACCAGTGCGGGCGCCGATGGTCACGCCGACAACTATGACGGCGTCCTCGCGTCGGTGATGAAGGTTTTGGAAAGAGTTCGACACGCGCGCGCGGCCGACGCGCGACAGTGGCCCGCATGATGTTCCCCAATCAGAGCTTGCCTCTGTAGGGGTCCTAGCGGGCTTAAGGGTAGGTGAGGTGTGCCGCCGATTCGGTGGCCGGGCCCGGGTGCCCAGATGCCCGGGTGCCCGGGTGTGGGTGCCCTTCGGTGCCCGGGCGCGGTGGCCGGGTGCCGGGTGACCGGTGGGTGCATGATGTGGGGGTTTGGGGGCCTTGGTGACCTGTTGGAGTTGTGGCCAAGGTGGTGGGGGGGGGTGTAGCTGGTGGGGGGGGGGGGTGAAGGGGAGGTGGGGAGAGTTGGATGTGTTGGTGGGGGTGGGCGGGGGGGGGTGGGGTGGGGGGGGGGGGGGGGGGGGGGGGAGGGTGGGTTTTTGGTTTTGTTTTTTGTTATTTTTTTTTTGTATTTGTTTATATAGTTTTTTGTTTTCCTTTTTTGACATTTATGTATTTTTTTTTGTTTTTACTATTATTCTTCTTTATTTTTTTAATTCATTTTATTTTGCGTCTTTTTTTTTTTTTATTATTTAAATTTTTTGTTTTTCGATAGATGATCTTTTTACTGTTTTTTTGTTTTTTATTTTGTACATTTTTTTTTTTTTTTTTTTTTTTTTTTTTTTTATGTGTTCCCTATCGCCCTATGGCCCTATAGCCCTATAGCCCTATAACCCATATAGCCATATAGCCATATAGCCCATATAGCGCCCAAGAGCCCATATAGCCCTGTAGCCCTATAACCCTACAGCCCTAAAAAGATTATGGTTGGTTTTTTCATTGGTATCATTATTTGACACGGATCGTGCCCCCTCCAGCACGCGCACAAGGGCGCGCGAATGATTCCGGCATGCGGCGCCAAAAGGCCCGTTATGAAAATTGATGTTGCGAAGCCATACGTGTATATATATATATATATATATGTATATGTTTGTTTGGAAACTCGTTTTTCAACTCGTTGCGAAGCCGAAGGTTTTTGACGGATTTCGGCACGCGCGCGCGACGTCGCGCGGGTGTGTACTTCGTTGCGTGTTTTTGCGAACGATTTTCGCGACGTCACGCGCGCAAGTGCGTTCGAACGATTTCGACATGCGCGCGGGGCCCGTTTGGTTACATTTTCGGAAGTGATGAAGTTTTCAAGGTTTTCCAAAGTAATCACACGCGCGCGAATTTTGTTTGAACATCCATGTTGCGAAGCCCTTTTTTTTATTATTTTTTTGCATGTTTTTTGTACTGGATCTTGAAATCCTTTCGGAACCAAAGAGGTTTTTGAATGATTTCGGCATGCGCGCGTGACGATGCGCGCGGGTGCACTTCGTCCCATGTGTTGCACAGGTTTTTGGACAATTATGGTTTTTCATAAACGAATGCGCGCGTAGTCGTTTCTTTTCAAAAGGATGGCGGGGGAAACCGATACTGGCTCGGCTGGGATGGTACAAGTTCATCTTTCGGATGGACGCAATACGAAAATGGGGCCGATAATCCGGGGGGGCGTAGAATCTATGCGGCGGCGACGGCGGCGACGGGCGGCACCGCCCGCAAGAACCGCCACTCGCCCCGAGCGGCGGCGACGGCGACGGCGGTGACGGGCGGCACCGCCCGCAAAAACCGCCAGTCGCCCCGAGCGGCGGCGACGGCGACGGCGACGGCGACGGCGGCGACAGGCGGCACCGCCCGCAAAAACCGCCACTCACCCCGAGACGGTTGAACCAAGTCAGAGCCCCTAAACGCAAACACTGTTCGGGGGAAAAGCACCGCATGGAAGATCGATCTTGGGGGACGTCGGCAGGTGGTGGATATGGATGTGGATATGGATGTGGATACACACGTATATACATATCCACTGCCCGCTGGGGTCCCAGGACGTCGGTTCCACAGTCGGTGGGTACATATATATATACACATAGGCACATGTGTATGCAGACATACATATACATTTAGATATCTCGACATATATGTGTATCTATGCCTGTGTGTCTGTCTGTCTGTCTGTCTGTCTGTCTGTCTGTCTGTCTGTCTGTCTGTCTGCATATCTGCATGCATGCCTATATGCATGCAATGAATGTATGTACGTATGTATGTATGTCTGTATGCATATCTGTATACACATATATCCCCACCTCGCACTTGTGTTCCCCCTCTTTGTATCGGGCTCTGCTCGCCAGCTTTAGTGGCAGTGGGTTTTTCTCTCCAGGCCGAGTCATGGGTGGGAAGGTTGTCCTGTGCCTCCGCTGTGGAAGAGAGCAGGCGGTCCCTGCCAGTGATCCTCATCGGCAAGCAGTTCTGGAAGTCGGCCATCAACTGGGACTTCTTCGTTCAGACCGGCATGATCTCGGACGAGGACGCAAACCAGCTCATCTTCGCCGACACCGCGCAGGAGGGGCAGAAGGAAAATCTCCTCGTCCTCCTCGTCCTCTTCCTCCACCCCTTTGGAGCCGAAGCTGTGTAAAACAGTCTGCGGGCCTATTTGCTGCTGCATGCTTGTGGGGCGCGTTCGACCAGTCTCTCACCGCGCCCTGCGGGAAGATCACATCCCCACTTCGCTGCGCTGATGTCGGGTGTACAATCTAATAGCCCTCGGCCCATCCCGTCACCGTGCCTGCGCTGCGGTTGCTTCGCGTGGAGGCCAGTGCTCGCCACTTTGGTGGACGTCCGCGGAAGTGTGTTCGAAAAACGATATGTTGGATGATATTTTGCTGTTCGGGGGCCTCTGAGGAGGAGGCTCTTGGAGGCAGTTTGGGAAACTTCTGGGGCGTAGCGGGGCAGTTTCGGAGTTCCTTGAAGGCGTCCGGGGGCCTCTCGGAGCCATATTGGACGCCTGCTGCCAGTCTCGGGGGGCCCCTGAGGGCGCAGAGCTCAACATCTCAGTTCGTGCTCCCCCTCTGGGGCACATCTTGGGCCGTCTTGGGCGCCTCGTGGGCCGTCTTGGGGGCCTCTTTGGGAGTCTCTTGGGCCTTCTTGGGGCGACTTTGGGGGGCTCCATGGGCCGTTGTGGACGCTGTGAAGGCCCCCGAGACGAATATGCTAAACATATGCGTTTTCCACATATGGCTTGGGATCTCGTGGGAGTGCTCTTGGGGGTTCCTTGCAGCTTCTTGGGGGTCTCTTTGGCCGTCTTGAGGCCATCTTGGGCGTCGGGGAACGATCTTGGGGGGACTTGGGGGCCCTCTTGGACCGTTTTGTTGGGGCCTCTTGGGGCCCTCCAGGCCTGTCTGGGGTCCTTCCTGGGCGAGGTTGCCGCCCTCGAGGCCCACGCGGAACACCCCAGGAACGGCCAGCAGCGCAGGGGAAACCACGGGTCTGGGCCGTTGAGAACGCTAGAAGCCCTCTACGCTTCAGGGCTGCGTGAGCGTTGGGGCGCCCCGCTTCGTGCTGAGGGCACGGTGGCGGATCAAAAAGACGTGCAGAAGGAACGTACGGTAGGTTCTTGTCGTGTCGACCGGCGGCGACCCTGCCAGCGGCGTTCAACGTTGAACGCCGCGGGCGACCCAGAATCGTTCGATGTGGAACGGTTTGGACGTTTCGCAAACAGCCGATCGTTCAAGGTTGAACGATCCCCCCGGTGTCAGAAACCAACGCCGAAGTCGGCACGGCACGAACCTGACGTATCCACCACCCCCAGGCCTCCCTGTTCGGGGCCCAGATCTTGGCAGATGTGGCCCCCCAGTCCAGCGCGGAGCCGACATCCGCCGAGTGGTGGCCGCAGGTCGGCACGGGGAGAATTGGTGGCGAACACCCCGATCAAGCTGAGGCAACCAAGAGCTGGGCGATGAAAGCGCGTCGATGCAGTTTTTGTGCCAGCACCAGGCCCCTTGCGGGACTCTTCTGAGCCATATTGACTACTGCGACGTCTATGCATCATCCTGCCCCTGCCCCTCCCCCTCCCCCTCCTCCTCCCCCCCGATTTCGGGGGGGGCCTCCGAAGGCTTTTGAAAACCTTCTGGGGAGCTCCCCAACGCCTCGGGCAGCCCCAGGGGGCATCCACAAGAAGGCCGCCGAGAACCTCCGAAAGTCAACGAAAGCTTTCGAGAGCAGCCCAAATCCGCCGACAGCCCTCCAACAATCTCTGGACGGCGAGCGAAGGGGGAAACGAGAAGGCGGCGGGGCTTCTCAGAAGCCCTGCGGCCTTCCGAGAAGTTTTCTGTGCCCACGGGGAAGGCTCAGAGAGCTTCTCGGAAAGCCGAGGGGACTTCTGGCCGCCCTCTGAGCAGTCCCGCCGCCTCTCTCGCTTCCCCCCTGGGCTCGCCGCCCAGATCTCTGCTCAACACCGGTTCCCGCCCCCCCTCCCAGGGATACTCCTGACCAGTTCTCCGAGCCGCGTCTGGCCGTGGCGACGAGAGGCACCAGAAAACGCCCCAGAGCCGCCAGAACGAGGACGTCGTCGACGCCGTCGCTCGGGAGGTCCCCTAGAGGCCTCTGGAGTTCCTCAGGCTCCCCGAAGCCCTCGTAGGCCCCGAAGAAGGGGCCCACCGATCCCCGATTCTCGATCCTCGATCCCCGATGCCCCCGATCCTGGATCCCCGATCCCCGATCCCCGATCCATCCCCGATCCCCGACCCCCGATCCTCGATCTCCCTTCCCCGACCCTCGATGCCCAAGATCCTCGACCCTCGATCCAGAACGAGGCACCGCTCCCCGCTCCCTGGAGACCCCCCCCCCGCAGGAGGCCTTCGACGCCCTCGTCGCCGGGGTCACGGCGCTGGAGTGCACGCCCGTGGCCTCCAAGAAGAAGGCGAAGGCGTAGGCGACGAGGCCGCAGCCAGCCGGCGGGGGCAACCATAGGGGTGGATAGGCTCGAGGGGGGAAGCTTCGGGTTCGAGGTTCGAGGTTCGAGGTTTCTGGATGTTTGGCCATCTCTCGGCGATTTTTTCCAGCCTTGGGACGCTTTCCATCAGCTGCGCCTCCCCGAGAGCGCTCCAGGCAGGGGTGCCGAACTCGTCCAGAACGGCCGCCGGAGGCCCGAGTTACTGCCCGAAAGCCAGGCAGCCAGGGAGCAGCATGTCGGTGGCAACGTTGGGAAAGGGGAAAAGCTCCGGGGGAAACGCACCGACACGCACACACACGCACACACCCATCGCCGATGGGGGCCTGATAGCCCGTGCCGCCCAGGAGCCGTCGGGTGCCCGTCGCCAGGTTCATCGGCGATGTGCCGCCGCTTCCAGGCCATTTGTGGTTCCCTCCCCTGAGCCATACAGGCCTCGGAACAAATTAGCGAACACCCATGCCACATTCATCTGTCAACGGCTCCCCCTCCCCCCAGCGTTTCAAAGTTGGCGGTGAGTCTGATGAGATGCACTTCGACCCAAGTTTCCCCCGCTTGTGCCAACATTGAGGTTTGGGGGGGGTGTTCAGTAATTGTTTCCCTCTACCGTATGCCCCCCTTGAGGCCCCCCTCACAGACAGCAGGGGCCTGCCCATCGCCTCGGATCCGCTGCGGGGAGCACAGGCAGGGCGCAAGTTTGGTGGATGGAGAGAGGTAGTTTTGACGAACGGACAACACGCACACACAGAACCATAGGGGGGTCGGCGGGAGGAGGACGTGCCGTGGGCATGACTGCGGGATGTCGGGCCGCGGGGGAGGCTCCCGTGCGAGCGGGCGACAGCACGCACCCATGGCCCCCTCTCCGGATAGGTCCTCAGAGCATCGGTGTTGGTCTTTTTCTGGTCCCCCCCCCAAAATGAGGAGGGACAAAGAGACCCAGACGCACAGGAACGCCGATTCCCAGGAAGATGCGGGGAAGTGCGGGAAGCGGATAGGGGGAGGCGAAAGGCCCCAAAGCGTGGGAGCATGTGGGGACTCCTGCGACTTGGGTCGGGTCATCTGTGTCTCCCCAGGCTCCTTGCAGGAAGCATTACATTGGGCCTGTCCCCCAACAAGTGGATTTCCGACGAAAAATACAAAATACCCCCCCAAAAAATTCACCAACAAATTGTCTGGGAGTATTTTTTGCGTATCTTTTGACCCTTTTGGAGTATTTCTGGGGTATGTTTGATTTCTCGTCGAAAATCCCCCTGTAGGGGGACAGGCCCGACATTCACCACCCACCAGACCACCCCAACCCAACCCGAAGGCTCAGATTGACCCGCGATTTCTAGTGGGGGGGGTCGGGAAGCATCGAGAAAGCACGCGTGGAACCCGTACCCCCCCCAACCCGAAATTCGGGTCTTCGTGTTGGGTTGGCGTGGTCTGGCAGGTAGTCAGACATAGAGGAAGCACCACCCTACATGGGGATTTCCGACGAAAAATAAAACATACCTCAAAAATAATTTAATCAAAAATGGTCTGGGGATTGCGTATTTTCTGACCTTTTTGGAGTATTTTTGGGGGGCATTTTTCATTTTTCGTCGAAAATCCCCCTGTATGGGGGACAGGCCCGACATGGAGGAAGCACCGCCCGCCCAGAGGCCCCGCGCGGCCTCGCACGGGTCCTCGACCCGTGCACGCCTCGGGCGCCTCGCGCTCGGGGGGCCCTCGCGCCGGCCTCGCTCGGGCCGCGGCTCTTCGTGGCAGTGCTCGGGTGGGTCTGGGGAGCAGCACGAGTCTGTGGCCGGCGCCGCGGCCCTCCGTCGGGGGCCACGGGCGGACCCCACCCCCTATCGACTAGACGCAAGAGTGCCCCTTCGCCGGAGTGAGCTTTGGTGCGGGCACAGATGGGTCCCCGGACGGCCGAGAATGAAGCAGCGGCAGCTGCTTGCGCGCCCAGGTTTGGTCCCCCCGCGGCTCCCCGAAAGCCGCGCACCAAAGGTCACTCTTCCCCAGGGTCACTCTTTCGTATAGCCGACCCTACCCCCCACGGCTTCCGAGGGGGGTCGGGGTAGGGTTCGCATGTGGCTCTCTACCTCCTCCACACGCTCCGGGCGGCGTCGGTTGCGCCGCCCCGGGGTGCGGAGGGGGGGTGGAGGAAGCTCCAGCACCGGCCCAAAGAGCTCCGCGCGTACCTCCGAGGGTGCAGGCTGCGTCCTTCTCTGGTCTCCCCCAGCCGGCCCCACCGCGCCGCCTGGGCCTGTTTTTTTATGCCCAGAGGTGGAGCCTCTTCTTCCTCCTAGGTGCTTCCTTCCATCCTTCCTCCTCCCCCTCCTCGCGCCTCCGTCCTTCCTGCCCCCTGCTCGATGAGCCTCGTCCCGATGATCCTCCTCCTCCTCCTCCTCCTCCTCCTCCTCCTCCTCCTCCTCCTCCTCCTCCAGCTTCTCGCCACCTTTGTTCGTAGCCATTTTGGCTCAGTATCGCAGTGTCGCAGCGACAGGAGGAAGTGGACAACGCTAGGACGCGGCTGGCAAGGCTGGCTCCAGCCTGGCATTCATTCTCAGCGAGCTCCTGCAGGAACAACTCTTCGCCTGGCCCGCCCCAGGCTTGCAAACCTCTCCCAGCCGTGCGCTGCTCCCAGGCGCCGCATGGCATGGGCCAAGCCGTGGCAGTGCAAGTAGTGTGCCAACCAACGTGGCGATCGCTGCTGGAACTTTGCATCAGCAGCGACGTGCAAAGGTTGCGGCTGCTCCAAGAACACGGCCTTCCTCTCCGTTCAGCATGGTGGGGACCACCGAGCTCATCACATACGATTCCACCTCATCGGCCGTCTCAACGTGAAAACGAGCTGGAGCGCCAGGTGGCAGCGCTGCAGAAGAAGATCCAGTTCGAAGTCGCGGACGCCTCGATCTCTGGCAGCGGTGGTGGGGAATACGTGGAAGTGAGTGACATGGGGGACGAGAAGCACAATCCGTATCGTGAGGAGTTGGCCCAGGCGGAGGCAATTCTTTACGTCTCTGCCGAAGTGTCCGACCACAGAGTTTGCGAAGCAGCAGCATATGCACTGCGAGCGACACAAAGACGATAGGAGAGCCCGACTGCGCGAGTCTCAGCTCTTCGAGTGGGGGGCGCACGGCGTGGTCAACCGGAAGCAGCAAGTACTTTTCAAGCAGCATCGGCAGGAACGTGCGCTGGAGGAACTCCAAGCGGAGCTGTCGAAGCGCAATCGGGAATCGACGAGTCCACAAAGGCGCTGTCAACGACGCGTGAGCATATTGGTTGAAGAAGCTGAGTTGCAGGTGGTGCCCCAACCCAGACCGACGACTCTGCAGTAGAAGAATTTCTGGCACATCTATCGAGGAATTGGGCACACGGTTCAAATCACGAGTATTGGGTGATGCAGCAGCTACTGCCTTGTCGACCAACCTGCGAAGCATCATAGGTCAGCTTCGCCAGTTCGAGAATGAACTTGACCAATCGGTAGAGCTCGCTGCTCCAGCTGCCCCATGTACTTCGACGGCAGCTACTCCGCTGTTAGTGGTGCAAGTACTGACGAGGCTGCTGCTGATGGCAGTGCTGGTGCAGGTGGCGCAGGTATTCAGGCTGCTGGTACTC